GGGGTACAAGGGGGACTGGGGTCAAAAACAGTGGGGGGAGGGAAGTGCACTGGACAATGGTGATGGCACACGGGTGATTTGGTGATGAGAAGCCCACGGGGATTACAACTGAGATGAAAAAATGCACAAAATGATATAAAAATAAACTATTATATTATTTAAAAAAGAGTGCAGGACACACAACTCCCTGTATGGGGAGTGTGTGTGTGTGTAGAAATACAGATGGTATCAGCACGGTGACATTTACTTAAATGCTAGTGCTGGCAAGCACTGAATATATTCTAATACATATATGAACATACTCATATATTTTTAAATCTCATCATTCAATTTAACCACTTAGCCCTCATACAATTTCCAAGGTGAGCACCATTATTTCTCATTTTACAAGTGAGGAAACTGTAGAACAGAGCTGGGCAGCTTGCCCACGTTCTCCCAGGTACAGACTGGAGCCGGGAGCTGGCCCAGGCTGCCTGGCCACTGAGCCCTCCCGGGGGCTCATGCTCTACTGCTGCTCCCAGAAGTCTTGGAAGCATTTGTGGAGGACTGTCCTGGGGTGTCATCTATTGGCCAAGGCTGGGTCGAGAGACCTCACGTCCCTGTCAGCCAAGGAAGAGCTGGATCCCCGGTCCTCTCTTTACAGAGCCCCTGGGCAGGGTCACGAGTCGGCGCCAGCAGGAGGCCCAGTCATTCCTGCAGCCCTCACACTCACAGGACGTGCTGCATGGCGGAGGCCGTCTTGGTAACTTCCCCTACTTGAATGATGTTCTGGACTTTGTTGAGGGAGGCCATCAAATCCTGGCTGTCCTGAAGGTCAAATTCGGTCTGGATCTTATCTCCATATTGCACCAGGGCAAAGCTGCACTGTAGCGGGGGAGCAGAGATGGAAAGGAAGTGGGCAGAGTCACCATGCCCCTTGGGCCCTCTTCCTTCTCCCTCCCAAAGCAATGGAAAATGTTTGGGAAATCCCTAAGCAGGCAGGGGTGGAGGAAAGTATGACAGTAATGGCTCCCAAGGAGTCATGGGCTTCTCCCTGAATCCACGTCCCTGTGGTGCCCCCTCTGCCTACAGGATTGGCCAGTGAGACATCAGCAAATATGATACAATTAGAGATCAAAGCTTGCTTGCATGCACTGGTCTGGCTCTCTTGGAATACTGCAGCCATGCGGAGGCCTGGCCTTCTGGAGACACACAGTCCAGGCCAGCGAGGCCATCTTAAGCCACCTGGTGCAAGGCAGCCAGATGCCTACAGCTGCAGCAGTAACTCCAGGCAAGAACAGCAGAAGAACCTCCCAGCTGAGCCCAGCCCAAACAGCAGACTCACAGAACTGCGAGCACAGAAACGGTTGTCCTAAGGTGGTCTGTGACACAGCAGCAGGCTGTGATGGACCCTGTGAGCCTAGCCATCGGGAAGTCTACCTCAAAGCACGTCTCAGAGATCTTCTTCATCATTTCGGCGGTGAAGTTTTTGGCTCTCTGGAAGTCACTGTCGTCAATGCTTCCTGAGCCATCCAGAATGATGGCGATTTCAGTGCCTGGCCGAGACAGGGAGCAGGTGAGAGTGGGCTGGGGTTCGGGGTGGCGTGAGAGCAGCAGTCCCATGCACACAGCCCTGCTGAGGCTCGGCTCAGGGCTCTGAGGGCTCGTTCGGAGGAAGTCAGTGACTCTCCCAGGAGTGAAGCCTTTGTCTCGAAGTCAGAGTGAGCTAGAACCTGCTCGGGCCTTGCTGTTTGAGCCCTTCCCATCGCACTAGGCCTCACTGTCCCCATCTGTGAGGTGGAGGGAGACCATGCCAAGGCTGGCAGGATCTACCCCCTGTTCCCTACCTCCCAATCCTGGGCACATGGAACCGTGGAGGTTACCAGCTTCAGGGCCAGTCCTGATAGCCCCTGAGCACCCCAGATCTGCCTCTTCTCACCAGCTTCCTCCTCCTCTTCCTCCTCTTCCTCCTCCTCCTCCTCTTCCTCTTCCTCCTCCTTCTTTGGAGATCGGCGGCACCTGGCTGTCTTCTCTCTGCTGCTTCTTTTGCTCCTGGAGCAGTCTCCAGCATCCAAAGGTGCACTGGGACTCAGGAGATTTCCTTTAGTACATACAGAAACACTCAGAGTCACCTCCTCATTCACCTCCAGCACGTCCCCACTTAGCTCTGTCCTGACTCCCATGAGGAGACCTAGGCCTGCTTGGGCCTCTATGTCCCTCTGCGTCCCTCTGCCTCTGGCTTGGGCGAGTGCTTCTTCTTGGAAACCCAGGGAGATAGCTTTACAGCTGTCCAAGGCCCATGAGTGTCCCGTCCTTACCAGTGGCCTCAGAGAAGTCAACCTGAAACAGAAGCCGGAGGTCTGGGCCCAGGAGGCTACATCTGCCCGTGAGCTCAGAGAGGACGCTGCGCGGCCGCCATCTCAGCATTTGAATGCACACCTGGGGGAAGGGAAGAAGGAAGGGAGAGGCTGCGTCACCCCCAGTCCAGCTACATCGTCACCCGCCACCCAGAGCCAAGTCCTCAGCCAGGCAGGAACAGCCTGCTCACCGTCCCCAGGGGCTGGCATGGCTGAGGTTGGCCTGGGTCGGTGGTGGCTCCCAGGGAACAGTAGCGCCAGCCCTGGCACAGAAGTGACCCCCAGCCTCCCTGGATGGGGTGCGTGAAGCCTCCCTCTTGTGCCCCACGCACACTCACCAAAACCCGTTGTTGGCTCCGGACAACTGTCACCCCCCGGTGCCTCCCCTTTGGGGAGTGGACATGCTCTGCAAGAGTTAAGCCAGGTCAGGAGACGGGAGGGCTCTGGGGCAACTGAGCCAAGGTGGGAGGACAGGGCTACCTTGGCCCCTTGAGAAAATGCTGCCCACTGGGAGCAGCCTCGAGAAGCCGGACAGGGGTCCAAGCCTGGACACACGGGACACAGCGCCGTTCCCCAGGCTTATTCACCACTTCACTCAATAACCGCCCCGTGCCGTCTGCTCTGTGCCAGGCCTGTGGCAGATGGGGCTGGGGGCCCAGAAATAGCCGGCCTGGTGCCTTTTCTCCAGGGGAAACTGGCTTGATGGGCAAGCAGGTAGAGGGGCCCCAGCTAGGGGGCAAGACGCTGAGGGGCCAGCTCTGTGGGCCTTCGGACCCACTGCTCTCAGAGACTCTGACCATACTGCCCACAACCCCGAGGGCACACGTGTAGACCCCTCCTCGCCCTCCCCTGGGCGGGCCGCTGGAGACAGGCTCATTTTTGAGCCACAAGCCACCTAGTCACCCTGAGATTTTTCCCTTCCCACGGCTCTCCGCAGCACCTCTGACACACGGACTGCTTCACACAGCTGAGGGCCCACAGCAGACGTGGGGCTCACGTCGGGCTGGATGGGACAGTGGAGTCTGGTTTGTGAGCAAGCACCGGGCACATGGTGAACATTCCATACACCATAGGTGCCACTTGTCAGGACTGGCTGGAGAGGTGGCTGGGGCTTCAGGTTGGGCTGGGAGAGGCCGGGCATTGGGATAAAGGACCTGCTGCAGGCGCTGGTGGGGTCGAGGGTGGAGGGACCAGGGTGGGAGTGGCTGGGCCGTGTGAGTAAGATTCCTGGGAAGGAGGCGGGATGTTCCCCAGAGGTGGGGTTAACATACCTACTAAACGGCACTTGATGGAACCATTTCGAAGGAAACATTGGTGCAGACGGCCTTCTCCGGTTTTGTTTCTAGGGCTGGCGACCAGAAGCCTGAGTGGGAGGGCAAACCCAAGGTTGGTCTGGCTGACTGCTCCCGTCTTCTCGCTTCCATTCACGACCCTCCCATTCCAGCTCCACAGGTTCACTATGAAGCTGGTCCCAGGTCTCATTCCTGGGCCTCCCAGGCCTGCTACCTCATTAATGCTTTCTCCAAACAGCCCCATTCACAGCCCAGCTCCTGGGGAAAGCAGCTGACTCCCAGCTCAGGGCAGCAGACTCTCACGGATAGCATCTGCTCAGTGTCTACCTTGCTACCACTGGAGGCAGGAAACGGTTGAACACAGCCCCTCTCTGCCGGCTGCCACCCTCACCCCCCATCAGACAAGGGGATATACTGGTGGTTAAAAAAAGTCTTTCACCTGTCTGGTGACAGTGTTGGGAGCGGGTGAGGGGAAGCCACGAGCAGCAACGTTATTGTGTTGGGGGCTGTGCAGCTTCCTGGTGGCCACCAGGGTCTGCCTACCTGGCCTTGAGTCAGGACTGGAGGCTTGCAGGGGGTGGGCTTGGGGCGGGGGAATGGCACCTCAGTGTGAACAAGCAGCCTCAAGAGATGTGATTCCCAGAGGCATACATCGCCTCCACCTGTGCCAGGGAGACCGCAGAGAGCCTCGCGTCAGCCTAAAGGGCCTCAATATCCACGTTGCCCAGCGAGGACCTGATGCCCCAAGAAAGTGAGCTCTCCACCCTAGGCTCGTGAGCAGGGGCTGCTGGAGAAGGGGCCGGGCTGGGCTTGGGCACAGAGAGCCTCATCCAAGATCATTATGTTGGGAGCAAGAGAAAGCCTCAGAGGGCTTTATAAAGGGGAAGCACAAGGTTGGTCTATTTCAAAAGGTCATGATGTAGCTGTAGAGGGATGAAGAACAGCCAAGAGGCACTCTCTCCACTTCCTCCCCCATTACTCGGCTTTTTTTTTTTTTAGATTTATTTATTTATGCATACAAGAATTGGGGTACAGGCCAGAGATGTGGGGGGTGAGAGGATTCACCAGAGACAGAGTGGGGAGCAGAACAGGCAGATCAACTGAAACACACTGCTGAGGGGAGCAGTGGACGGGTCAGGAGGGGGCTGCTGCACCATGTGGGTCAGCTCCCTGGCCAAGAACAGAACTCGTGCTGCAGTGGCTGTGGGTCCCTTCATAGTGCTGTGCTTTAACCTGTTCCACGGCCAGGAAGGGCCCCATCATGTTGCTTTTTTACATGATGAAACATAACACTGTCTCCACTTACATCTGTATGTAGGGGTGACTATCCTGGAACACCTGTGGGCCCAGCAATATAATGGAGCCACACAGGTTCTCATGAGAGGAAGGCAGAAGGGTCTGAATCAGGAGGGTTCAGACTTAAAAAAGGGAAGAAGCGGCCCTGAGCCAAGGTGTGCAGGCAGCCTCTAGAAGGAGAAACAGGCAAAGCAGCAGATCCTCCCCTATAGCCTCCAGAAGGAACACAGCCTGCTGACACCAGTTTCTACTTGAGTCAACCCCATTTCAGGCATGAGACCTCCAAAGCTGTAAGACAATAAACGGGTGTAGCTGTAACTCGCTAATGCTGAATTTGTCCCAGCAGCAATAGCAAACCAGCACGGTAACCCCAAGCCCAAGCTCCCTCGGGCTCCTCAGGGGGAGACGCCACTTGTAGCCTTGGCATCTGCCCTGAGCTCCGGCCCCTCCTGCTCCACACATGGCTCCAAAACCCAGGCCTGGACTCGCTTCGTCTTTCTGTTCAGTATCTACACCACCACCACCAGGAAGCCTGCTGGTCCTTCCTGCAACATCTGTCCGGAGAGCATCTCCTGCTCTGGCCACCACCCTGGGCTCCATCACCACGGCAGCCTCCTAAATGTTATTCTGTCTTGCTTTGCAATGTTCTCTTCATGCACACCAAGCCGCTTGCCAGCCCTAGCAGCCCCACGCACTCAGAGCAGCCCAGACCCCACAGGGCTGGCTCCGCCTGGCTCCCTGCTCGCTGAGACGCCCCTTGCCGCCCCTCTGCGCACCCCAGCTCCGCAGGCTTGGCTTCTGTTCCTAGACGGTCCCTGCCCCTTCCTGCCCTGAGCCCCCCTCCTTCCTGGCCCGCCTGCAGCCCTCCCTCCCCGAGGCTGGCTCATTCTCACCGCTTGCCTCCCTTACTGCTGCCTCCTCATTAATGCTTCTCCAACCGCCCCACCTCACAGCCCAGACACTGTGCTTCACATCACCCCATTTTATTTCCTTCTCAGAACTTGTCACCATCTGATTGTATCCCGTTGACTTATTTACTTGCTTTTTAGATCTGTCTCTACCACTCAACTGTATGTTCCCCAAGGAAACGGTCTGCCTTGCTTACTTATCTCCAGGGTCTGGAACAGTGCCTGGCACAGAGCAAGGGCTAAATAAGTAACTGTTGACTGACAAGTGAGTGAGGGCCCAGGCCGCCGTGCAGAGGCTAATCTGGGACGGGGCTGATGGGTGGCGGGCCAGGTGCAGCGAGATCTGTGGGCTCTGCAGCTGGGCCCCAAAGTAGGTCACCTTGTCAGGAGCCCTCCCTCTCCCGGACACCCTCACAGCCTGAGCCTCAGCCTTGGGTCCAACAGCTTGCTGCCCCCTCTCTCACAGGGGCTCTGCGCTGTACTCCGCCCCAGACCACCTTTTGCTGGGGTAGGGATACAGGGATACATCCTGGGGTGGCCTCAGCTTTCCTCCTTCCTTCAGGCTCTGTCCGAGCCATTTCTTCTGCCTGCCATGCCTTCCACCCCTTCCCTGTTATCATCTTAAACACCTGCTGGTATGATGCGTGAGGAAGCCGCCTCCAAACAAGTGACTGGACCTCCTCCAAGCACTTGAGGTAACCCTGACTCCTGCAGCTGCTCTCCCGTGCGCCATCTTTGTTCCCACCTAGACCGTGAAGTCCCAAGGTTGTGCCAAGTACAGCTGTACAGGCTGTGCACTGCAGAAGCCACGGCTGCCCTTCATTACCACAGTCATGCCGCGCTATGCCTTGGGCCCAGTTTGACTCGGTTCTGCTGCCCACTCCTTTCACCTCCCCACCAGGGTGACGACCTCCATGGTCATCAACTGAGTCACTGACACAGTAAACGATAACTGAACCCACGACCAGCAGACAGCAAGCGCCAGGGCACCTATGACACCCCAGCCCGTCCTCAGCACGAGGGAATGAGGACGTCATCAGCTCCGCGAGACGAGCTGTTCATTTTTCTGTGGCCGGGCTCACCAGCAACGCATTTCCTGCCCTCTTCACCAGCCCTGTGGGCTGGGCTCGGGCTTCATCATTTGCGGAACACACAAGTGCCTCCCACCACATCCTCCTTTCAGCACGTTTAAACTCGTGAGACGCCTCTTCACTTTAGCAAGGTGCAGAGGTTTCCGTGAGCCCAGTCAGGCTCTACCCTGCCCCCCGCCCAGCAGGCTTGGAGCCTTCTGTTCTGCGGGGCTTCAACCTCCTCAGCCAGCGTGGCCTTTCCCCTGGCTTCTGAGGGAGGGGCGTGGGAATGCGCCAGGCCTGGAACTGGGGCGTCTCTGCCAGGGTGTGGGTGGGAAGGAACCGGGCAGGACATGGTCACCAATAACCTGACTGACACCCCACCTTCACCAGTGTGGGGAGCAACCAGAATGCTCACGCTGAATGCTGACCACTGCCTGAGCCACGATCCAACATCTCGACTGCTGGCACGCATCTGATGGAAGACGTGCATGGTCCAGCCAATGAAAGTGCAGACTTGCCGCTGCGAGCAGCTGAGCAACCTGTCCACACCCTGCTCAGCATGTCCACACGATGCAGACCCAGCAGGAAGGATGCGCATCGTTGCTATGGGCAGCGCCATGGATGAAATCCCCAGGCTACAGCTAGAGAGGAGAAGCCTGCCATGCGGAGCACACACTGCGCCTTGTGCATGGAACGTTCGAGAGCAGGCAAGCTACCCCACGCTGTGGGCGTGGGAACAGTGGCTAACTCTTGCAGGCTGCGCCTGCAGGGAGCACCAGTGTTTCCTGCCCTGGACTTGCACACTGCCCACACGGGTGGCTCACTCTGGAACATTCGGGGAGCTCCAGGGTCATGCGATGTACATTTTTGGTGTGGTCCGTATCAATGAAACTTCACCAAAACAAAAGGAAACACAACACGCACCAACCTTTGATTCACCTCCTGCAGCATCCTTCTGCTGCCCCTCCCTGCTCTCAGCCTTTCTAGGCTAGGTGCCTGGGTGACAAGGCACTCCCACCTCCCCAGCTTATGTTGTACCCTGCTCAGCTTCGTGCTGAGATCAACCAGCATGATCTCAGTTCCTGGCTTCTGACCAAGGTGTTCTCTGTAGGGACTTCCCCTCCCCTCCTCGCATCAGTCCCTACTCAGCCCACGCCTCTGTCCATGCACGTCCTCTGGTTGAGGGCCACACTCGCCTCTGTGTCCCCAAAGTACCCCACAGTACTCCTTCCCCGAGGACCACATTCCCTGACTTGTCTGCTTCCCTGCTGAGCCTGGGAGCTCCTTGGGGCAGGACGGCATCTCCCTCACAGGCTCATCCCACCCCTGCTTGGCCGGAGTGTCTTCCCCATAGACCCTTGCTCAGTAGCTGAGCGGATGACCTTGCCCTGCCTCACGACTTGCATCAAAAGGTCGCCGGTCTCGTGGATGCCCAAGGAAGCCACCCAGCAGCAAGGGCTCCAGCCCGCTCCGCTGATGGGGTTGTGGTCCAAGTGCCAGAGCCGGTGAGGCCTCCCCAGGCGCCCCCACTCCCACCACCCTCCACCAAACAGGGCTTCTGCCCTGCTCACCGGGCAAGAGGAAGCACTCTGCTCAGCCAGGCCTAATGTGCCTGGACCTGGGCTCGCGGCTTATGTGCTGGATTTGGATCTGGGGGTGCAGAAGAAACCCACCAAGGCAGGGCCTGAGCACACTGGGTGGCCCAGCAAGAACAGCAAAAGTGCAAGGACCCTCACCAACAAAAGGTGGGAGGAGGGATTGCTCTCTATGAAAAGTGTAAGCCCAGATCAACAATTAAAGGGGTACCCCTCTCAACTACGGGGCTGCAAGCAGAAGAGCCACGCACAGCTAGACTGGCCTTGCAAAGAAGCAATGTCAGAGGCAACAAAAGCTGCTTCCAAGCGAATCAGTGACTCAAACAGAAGTCAGACTTCTCAGGATGGCGTTGCTCAAACGCCCAGTTCCCAGAAAGTAAGGCTGTGCGTAGGGGAAATTAACAGTTCTCCTCAAAATGCAGACAACATCAGAGGGACACATTCACTGGCACAAAGCCGCCCCCGGCTTTCTGCATAAAAATCCTTGAAAATGCGAAATGTTTTCCTCACAGAGGATATAACATTCTCACAGGGCGCAGGCGGATGGCACCCCGGAGCGCCCTGGCGGCTGTGTCTGAACCCCAGTCCGCTGTCTCAGTTCCGCCATGAGCTCACTCACTGGACTCAACTGATGTAAGCCAACACAGCAGACTGAATTCGAGACACACGGAGGGACGGGGGGCGTCATTGGGCCCGGCCTTTCAAGCAAAGCAGCATTTTAGGGGCAACGGGAAAATGGGATGTCTCCGAGATCGTGGGCCTTGACGCCAGAACTTCCAGAACCGCAGAGGTGCCTGCCCCAGCACCTGCCCTCTGCCCGCCCCGGCACCTGGCCTCTGCCCGCCCCGGCACCTGCCCTCTGCCCGCCCCGGCACCTGCCCTCTGCCCGCCCTGCAGTGTCCGGGCCGGCACCTGTGGGTGCACCATCCACACCCCCCAGCCTTCGGTGGCTCTGTGGTTCGCGATGTGCTACAGCTGAGCCGTGTGGACAGCCGCTCTCGGTTCTTTCACCCCTGGACTCTCACCTTACTTCTTCCCTGCGCTACCATGGGCATTCCCAGGCTCCACTCTTCCCAGCAAAGGCACTTTACATGTGCCTGGGGAGCCCCAGGGGTTGGCACCAGGAGTGTGGTGACGTGACTGACTCAAAGGCCACGTGAACCCTGCCCTTTACCACAGGTGGCAATGCTGATGCCCACGGTGGTCACGCTGTCTGTCCCAAGGCGCCTGCTCCCCTGTTCCTTCCCAACACGTGTTGTCAGATGTAAATTTGCTGCTTACCTATGGCATGGCTACAGGTAAATTTGCTGCTTACCTATGGCATGGCTACAGGTGATATTTTCAAAATATCAGGTAACAGTGACCAAGCTTTAATTTGAATACAAACGGTGCCAAACCCTTCCTTTGCCTTGACTCGGTAGCCCTGCAACAGAGCTGTGAGGTCGGAAGAGGCGAGAGGCTGGACTGGGGCCCGAGGCCCTGCTGCAAATACGGAGGGAAACCGTCTCTGAGCCTCCTTGGCTGGCCACGGCCACCTTCACCACCCCTCTCTCCCATCTCCTGTTTACCATCTTTAAAAGTCTTTTTTCACACTGCAAAGTTTCTATATTGAGCACGCATTGCTTTTGTGCACACTTGATAGGCTTTATTTTTAGATGGCTTTTAAGCCATCACTCCTGGCAGGGAGGGAGAGGCCAGAGTGAAGAGAGGGCTGACCAGACTGGATGTTCACCACCTCTCTCACCGCTGCAGGCCCTTCTGAAAGTGAAAGAGCACCTCCCCAGACCGTGGGGGTGGGGTGCTAAGGCCTCCTCGGCTCACTTCCCCCCTTTAACCCTATACCGCCACTCACCAGGTCTGGTTGGTATTGGGATCTTGGTGGAGAAGGGAGCTGAGCACGTAAGGTTTTTCCTCAGGGGTCACCCATGGCCGGGACACATCCACATTGAAGGCCTCCAGGGGAGCCAGGCCTGTGGAGAAAAGAGACACGTCTGGCTAAAGAGACAAAATGGCCGCCCCTTCGACACCGGTTCTTCCTGCAGCCCCTGCCCCGTCATTATCCAGTGTTTCAGAGGAGAAGAGGAAGGCACCCAAGAATTATTTTGTCCAAGGAAATAGGGCTGGAACATGGGCATTTCTGACCCAGTGCCCCAATTCTCCTACCAAAGCAAGTGGCCTCCCGCTCTCGGGGAGGCTCTCCCGGCCCCACTCCCACCTGCTACACCTGCCCTGTGCACTCTGTACCCGCCACATAGCGGACTCCTCATTGTGTGTCTTTTATCGGGGTGTAATCGGGCAGGGAGCCACAGGCCGAGGTCTGCACAGACTCCACCTGTGTACCCCCAGTGGCCCAAAGGAAAACACCTGTCTGCAAATATGCCTGCACAAGAATGTTTGCAGCAGCTTTATCTTAATAGTGCCAAACTGGAAACAACTCAATGCCCATCTAGCGGGAAGGCATGAGCGTGGAACTTCCATCCTAGGGACTCAGCGTGGCGAGGGCGGACAGTCAACACAGCAAGGTGGGCGGTCACAATTACTACGCTGAGCAAAAGCAGCCTCCTATAAGAGTGTTCTGTGTGTAATTGCATTTCTGTGGTGTTCCCGAATGAGTGATACTAATCTATAGTAAAAAAAAAAAAAAAATGGCAGTGGCAGTGGCTGAGGTGTGTTGAGGAACCGAGAAGGGACAGGAAGTAATGGAAGTAATGGGACGGTGGAAATATCCTGTGTGTGTGAGCTTGGAGGACAAAGGTGTATGTTAACACTTGAATCAGGGCCCTCATTGGTGATGCAAAGGGTTAAAGCACAGCACTATGAAGCTATAAGAAGCCACTGCCCAAGCCACTGCCCACAGCCACTGCAGCACAAGTTAGGTCCACGGCCAGGGAGCTGACCCACATGGCGCAGCAGACCTCTCCTGACCCGCCCACTGCTCCCCTCAGCAGTGTGTTTCAGTACATCTGTCTGTTCTGCTCTCCACTCTGTCTCTGGTGAGTCCTCTCATCTCTCCCCTCCTCTGGCCTACACGCCAGCTCTTGTATGCATAAAAATTTTTTAAAAAAAATCACACTTGGGGGCAGTTGGGAGAAGGGAAGTGGCCTGGGTGTAAGATAACAAAGGAGTTCCTGCAGCCCTGGTTCCGGGGAGGGCTGGGGGCACCCCCACTGTGTAGAGAGCACCCGCGGGTGCTGTGCTTCAGAAGCAGGTGCCGAAGTATCTAGAAGTGAAATGACAGGATGTTCAGGATTCGCTTTAAACAATACTTGTGAAACCTTGATGTGTGAATGAATCACTCAGCTCTCTCATTAGAATACAGATTCTTGTGCGCTTCCCTCCTCTATTTTTAATAACAGGGTGGTCCCCTAGGAGGGTGGAGGTGGGCAAGGAGGAGAAGCTGGAGAAGGAAGCAGGATGGAGAGCCAGAGAGACTCAGGGAGTAGAGAGACGTGAAGAAGCGGCTCTTGTTTCTAGATCCTGGACTGGATGAAATAGATGTGGGCGAGAGACACCTAGGGAGGTTGACCATGGTAGTTTTTATCTTGATTTTGCTTTTGCTCTTTTCCTCCCAGACTTGTCTGGCCATTGTCAGGCCAGCCCATGTCCAGAAGGGCCTGCAGATAGTACCCAGGAGGCAGATGCCATAAGCACAGCACTCCACCACATTCCTGGTTGTGCAGATTGGGGGTTCGCCTGGACTCCTCCTCTGAGCTTTCTGCCTTGGCTGTTCTGGGCTATGACCCTCCCTCCCCTACCACTCTTGGGTATAAATTTTTTCCGCAAGCTCTTGGCTTGGCCCCTCCTCCCTGGGAGGTCTGTCCAGCAACTGGCCCCGTCAACCTTTCTCTTTAAAACTGTGCAAGTGGGCTCTTCTTGGCCACACCTTATGTTTGTTGTCTTGGTGCCAAAACCCGGGAGGAGCTCCCTCCCTGGGAGTCTCCTCCCAAACCCCAGTTGCTGAGGGCCCCCCAGGTCTTTCTCTCCTTCTCTTGGACCATCTGCTTTGCTGGCTCAACACTCACCACCAGCCTAGGGGTAAGTCCCACCCAGCTTCACACTCTCTCCCCATCTGCCTCTTCCCCACTTACTCACCACCTGGGCAGCACCCATGGGTTCAGCTCTGGGATTCGCCTACACTCTCCTTCTCTTATCTATGAAAATCATGGCGCCACGCGGGAATTCCTCTACCCCAAATTTGGGTTGTCCCGTCTTGTCCCCAGGGACTCCTGGCTCAAGGAACAGACCTACTTCTGTGCTGTCATGAATCAGGGTGGAGGACGCTCTTCCCTTGATCCGGACGACTCCACACCGATCGTGCTCCCTGCCACTGTCTCCCTCTCTTACCCGACCCACTGCCAGGGGCAACTTCGCAAAGGTCGACCCTTCTACTCCCTCGGCTGCCTCCATCGAAAAACGCCTTCTCTTCTGCTGTAACACGGCCTGGCCTCCACACAAACTTGACGACAACTCCATCGATTTTCAGGCCCTTACTGGACTGGGTAATTTTTGTTCATGCACCTGCAAGTGGTCCGAGACCACTCACGTCCAAGCCTTTTCCACCCTCCGCTCTCCACCCTCCCTCCTCAAACCGTGCTCTGCCTCCAGATGCTCTTAGCAGGCAGGACTGTAGAGCTCACATTCCTTTGCCCCTTCCATGTTCACTCTGTGCCTATCAATCCCTTTCTCCTCCCCGAGACCACGGACTCCTCTTCCGCCTCCTGACAAAAGCCCTCCGAGACTCAGTCCCAAATCTACCCCATCTTGCCCTTTCCACCTCTAGCCTCTCTCCTCTACTCCTCCATACCACCAAATCTCCCATAAATCCTCCCCACTTCTCTCCGCCTGCCGCTCACACCTGACCCAAAGCAGAGGCCTCGGCCCCCCTTTCCCTTTGCTGCTGCTGGAGGTGTGGTTCAGGGCCATGTTCTGTTCTGTCACCAGTCTTTCCCGAATTGAAAGGCCTTTGGGGTCCCTTTCTAATGACCCCTCCACCTACACGAAGGAATGTAAGTATTTCACCCAGCCTATGATATGACTTGGCATGACAGCTGCCTCTGTGGGAAAGGTTAACAAGGACGGTTTTTATCTTGATTTTGATTGTGTTCTTTTCCTCCCAGACCTGTCTGGCCATTTCTGACCCTTTTCTGTGGCCCCCGCCAGAATGTGCTTTAAAATCATGGTGGGCTTTCAGGCCTTGCTTTGGGCCAATCCTTTTTGGGTGGACTTTTTTTTTTTGAAAGATTTATTTATTTGTGCATACAGAACTGGGATACAGGCTCAGGGGCGGCGAGAGGATTCACCAGAGTCAGAATGGGGAGCAGAACAGGCAGATCGACGAAGTACACTGCTGAGGGGAGCAGCGGGCGGGTCAGGAGAGGTCTGCCACGCCATGTGGTCTCCTCCGGGGCAGGCGGGGATCGAACTCATGCGGAAGTGGCTTTAGCTTCTCAGTGCTGTGCTTTAACCCACTGCACCACCAGGGAGGGCCTTTGGGTGGACTTTTACCCAGGAGGGAATGGGTGACTTTGGGTGTTTGATTTAGAAACTATATTTTTTGTCTTTGCTGTATTGCACACTAATTGTATTTAAGTTCCTCTCCATTAAAGGTCTTACATGTTTTGACATGATGCAGAAAATGGCAGGAGCTATTTAGAGCGGGCAGGTCTGGAGGTTCTAAGGTGCTCGTCTCCCTGCCCAGTAACAGATTTGGTGACCACGTAGGGACTGGAACCGTCCGTGGTTAGTCAGCCCATGGGGAAAGTTGGCTTCCGTGACACAGGCTACCATTAGCGCAAATGTGGTTTTTGCTTCTCTAGTGTTTATTTTCAGATGTAGATTTGCTGTTGAAAAACTGGCTTGAGCCTTGTGAAACTCTGTGTGTATGTGTGCAATTTGTAGTAACTTGCAAAGAGGTTTGATTTTGTGGAACTTGTTCTGGGTAGTAGTTTTACTTGAAAGATGGTAGTATGGGGTCCTCCCTGGTAGTGCAACAGGTTAAAGCACAGCACTATGAAGCTATCCACAGCCACTGTAGTGCAAATTCTATCCCTGGCCAGGGAGGTGACCCACATGACATAGCAGACCTCACCTGACCTGCCGGCTGCTCCACTCAGCAGTGGATTTTAGTCAACCCATCTGTTCTGCTCCCCATTCTGTTTCTGGTGAGTCCTCTCACCTCCAAACCTCTGACCTGTACTCCAGTTCTTTTATGCAAAAAATAAATCCTTTAAAAAAAAAAAAAAGATGGTAGTGCATTGTGTAACAGGGTGGTCCCCAGGAAAAGGGGAGGTTCCAGGTTCCTTGCCCCACCCAAAGGAGGGTGGAGCTGAACAGAGAGAAGAATCTAGAGAGGAGATGCAGAGGAAGGAGAGCCAGAAGGAAACCTGAGGTACACACATGGAGCAGAGAGACATGTGAGAGACTCATGAAGAAGTTAACTAGGGCAGCATTTATCTTAATATTGATTTTGTTCTTTTCCTGCCAGACTTGTCTGGTCATTTCTGACCCTTTTCTGTGAGTCACCGCCAGAAGATGCTTTTGACTTGTGGCAGGTTTTCAGGCCTTGCTTTGGGCCAATCCCTTTGGGTAGACTTTTACCCATAAGGGGATGGGTAACTTTGTATGTTTGATTTAGAAACTATGTTCTCTGTCTTTTCTGTATTGCACACTAATAGTATTAAAGTTCATTTCCATTAAAGGTCTTATATGTCTTGTTTTGATGGCAGAACCTACTTAGAGTAGGCAGTGTGGAGAGTATAGGGGGGTGTCCCTCTCCCTGCCCTGCAACATGCGGTTGGACCATGGGCCGGATCAAAGATGGCATCTGAGGCCACTTGGCTGGCTTGGAACTCGGAAGTTTTCTGTTCTTTTGGATTTTCTGTTTGTGGCATCCTCTGTTAACTAGAGTAAATTGCTAGGACTTTGGACATTTTGTGTGTGTGTGATATCTGCTGTTTCACAGGTCTCGTTG